GATGGGGGAAGATAGGCAAAGCTTTCTTTTCCCAAAAAATAGTCTCTCCTGAATATTTCCTTTTCAGTTTAAAATCGTAGACGTTTCTCAATAGAGAGCGCAAATAACTTTTACTTGTATTTCCACTAATTCAATCCAGTGCTGGCCGTCGCATCAGTAAAATAACCACTAACTTCCGTCGGATGTAACCATCATCATCGGCTATATTTTATTGAATTAACTCGATTGATTAATCTCTGGAACACCACACGGTGATGTCTGCAACTCCCTCTTGAATGTCATCTCCCTTATCAACGTCGTTCACCAGAATTGATCATTGTGGGAGAAGAAAAACGAAGAATAAAACTATAAATATTTGTTTGTCTAATGAGTTTTTCCGGATGTGAGATTACTTAAATAACTCTTACTAGTTTCGTCTGTTATGCATAACTAGTTTTTGTCCGCGGCTTCGCCCGCGTAGAATTTGGTTTGGCACATTAATTTTCGTGACAGACAATTTTGAACAAATTTATAATTTTACTTTAAAAATACAGTAACTAAAAAATATGCACTGCACTAAGTAGTTAATAGCTTCGAGAATCGAGTTATGTTACCTATAAAGGAATTCGCAAAACTAACACAACCGTCAACGACTTCTTCCCTCACGCGTCTGCCCGCGTTCGGGTCGCGTTCTCGGCGATGGCGCTTCATTGCTTATACCGCCCCTCTACCTGTGTGCATTTTCCCCGTCTTCTTACAGTAGACGCGACGTATAATGACTTACTGCGTTGCATCAAGTTAATCTTATCGCCATAACTTTTAAACGATTTATTCAAATTACTTAATGTCAAAGACAAAGTTTACCTATATCAAATACTCAAAAGACAATCGTATCAATTTTTATAAGAACTTGACAGATATTCTTAAATGTGCATTGTACAAAAACTATGGCTTAGTATTTCGCACGTAAGAGGTAGATATATGCTATCGCGGACTTTTATTTCGAACTATTTAAGATAATAGTATATTATGCAACGATCATGTAATGATGGTTATTAAGACACGAGCATTAACCGGGATACGAAACGAGCCGAAGGCGAGTTTTGTATGGTATATGCGAGTGTATTAATAACCATTACATGAGAGTTGCGTATGCAACTCGCAAACCCGATAAATAATGAAAAACTATAAATATTTGTTTGTCTAATGAGTTTTTCCGGATGTGAGATTATTTAAATAACTCTTACTAGTTTCGTCTGTTATGCATAACTAGTTTTTGTCCGCGGCTTCGCCCGCGTAGAATTTGGTTTGTCACATCAATTTTCGTGACAGACCATTTTGAACAAATTTATAATTTTACTTTAAAAATACAGTAACTAAAAAATATGCACTGCACTAAGTAGTTAATAGCTTCGAGAATCGAGTTATGTTACCTATAAAGGAATTCGCAAAACTAACACAACCGTCAATGACTTCTTCCCTCACGCGTCTGCCCGCGTTCGGGTCGCGTTCTCGGCGATGGCGCTTCATTGCTTATACCGCCCCTCTATCTCTGTGCATTTTCCCCGTCGTCTTACAGTAGACGCGATGTATAATGACTTACTTACTTCTCTAATAGTCATAATAATTTTACCACCAACGCTGGGGTATTCCCCAGGAATATATGTCTCTAATCCTCCAACCCAAGACATATTGGTGGCTTGGCAAAATCATGTCGCTAAATTGCAGAAGCTGCTTCTCAAAACCTTGGGACACTGTTCCGAACCAGAAAACTGTACACACCTCAGCAACTTTTGATGGTTTATAAAGCTTAGATCAGATCTTTGGAGTATTGTCCTCATGTATGGAGCTCTGCCCCCAAATATACCCTGAAGCTGCTGGAATCCATTTAGAGAAGAGCCATTCGCCTGATTGGAGACACGAACATATCTTGCAATCTTGATAGTCTGAATAATCGAAGGAAGATTGGAGATTTGTCTCCTTTTTATAGATACTTTCACGAGGGGTGTTCAAGTTACTTGGCAAATTTGATTCCACCAAGAGCGGTACATATCAGAAATACGCGACGAACTGTGGCTGCTCATTGTTTCGAGGCTCAACTCAGCACACCTCGAACTTCACTGTTTAAGAACTCTTTCATTCGGAGAACTGTGTTCATGTGGAATAAACTTCCTAAGAACGTTTTTTCGAAGTAATTCAATCTCCAGCGATTCAAATCCAATGTGAATCGCTACTTTCGCGCAGGCAAAAGAGCGCTTGTGCTTTGTTCTTAAAAAACAAAACCATACCTAATAAGATTTTCATATTAACGATGACAACAACGATGTGATTCCTGGTACTTCCCGGAAGGTTGTCGAAAATGGTTATTTTCTAATTGCAATATTGCAATTGTTCATTCACAACAAAGATTTTGTGAAATTTTCAAAGTGACATAATATCGTTTTCGTATGTTGAATACGGTTTAAAGTGCTCGGTCACATCATTTGGGGAAATTTTATTGATCAATAAAAATATCCGAAATACATTGTCCGCGTTGTGTATTTACAGACCCGGGAGCTTTCATTGAGCGGCTGTTGCTGTAAGAGGGGCGAAATCTCGTTGGGGTTGTGAATTGTGACGTAGCCACTTGCGTGGCTACGTGCGTGGCTACTTGCGTGTGTTTTCAAGAGGTCTGCTGCAGGAATATAAAACCGTTCAGATTTACCCTCGTTCCTTTTATATCGATATTCTCGAAAAAGATGAAAATTATAATAGTGTACACGTCGTGTCCGAGATATGTGGATTTTCTTGCACCGAAAGCTTTCCAGATGAGTTATTGAGATCAAGTGTCTTTAAAAACGATACTTCCCACGAAGTGGGCGACATCTATATTTGACGTTGTAAACCACTGTGACAGTGAACAACAAATATTTGTATGAAAGTGGGTGACAATATTTCATGATGAATTTTACTGTTTCTGATTTCCATTGCCAAATATGATTCTAATATTATTCAAAAGCTCTGAACTATTCTTTTTTTATCGATATTCTCGAAAAAGATGAAAATTATAATAGTTTACACGCCGCGTTCGACAAATATGGATTTTCTTGCACCGAAAGCTTTCCAGATGAGTTGTTGAGATCAAGTGTCTTTAAAAACAATACTCCCTATGCAGTAGGCGACATCTATATTTGACGTTGTGAACCATTGTAACAGTGAACAACAAACATTTGTTTGCAAGTGGTTGACAATGTTTCATGGTGAATTTTACTGGTTCGGATTTTCATTGTCTAATATGATTCTAATATGAATTGAAATCTCTGAAATCTACTTTTATAACGATATTCTCGAAAAAGAATTTACGAAGTTTCGATTGATAGTATCCACAATCGTCTTCGGGTGACTGGAATATTCTTCCGAGAGGTGACTATTTATAGGTCATTCAAATGCTTTCACCTATCTCCTCTTTCCTCTCTTCGATTCACCGATTCAGCAGGAGTTGCATTTTTTCCCGCTTGACTGAAGATTTCCATATATTGGGTATCTATCTCTACGCTAGCTTGACAGAATGCATCGTTGGACAAAATTTATGCAACTTCTTTGAACTTCCTCTTATACCAGTGTTTCTCCCTGTGGACCATAGCTTGGGACCACTCTATGTTATGTTGATAAGTCCAAACATGCTCTGCTATTCCCGATTCGGTGGTTTCTCCTCGCTGTGTGTTCCTCTTGTGCTCGACAATGCGGATTCACAATGGTTTCCTGATATAGGATTTGCCGCACTCACAGGGTATCCGGTAAATGTAATTCTTGGAATCGCAGTCCGCGTTTTTGTGAGGCTGCTTCAGATGGTGTTTTCGGATCTGAAGTAGGTTTCAACGTACTTGGACCCAATTATTCTTATCCTTTCCAACAATCCTCAAAAGTAGGGAAGGGCAACAAAAAAGTTTCTCATTCTTCTTTGATTAGAAATTATTTCAAGAGTTATTTCATAAATAAGGAATCAAAATTGTGAAAATTTATAGAAAATTCAGACTGAAAAGCAGTATAATTCAAAAACTCCTTTTTCAGTTTCGTACATAATGAAATAGAAATACTTCCCTACATAAATTTTCTTTAGAAAAAAAGAGTTGGATAATTTTAATAATTCTTTCCTGAAAACAGAGAGTTCATCAACTGTTTTTTTCAAAGAACTTGTATGCCTCGTGGAAGAACTGTTTTTTATATACAGAGCACTCGTAAATAGTCCCTCTCCTCTTTATTTTCGAATGGGGCAAGATATCAGAGACGGACCAAATTTTTGTAAAAAGAAATCATTTTCAGTACTTTTTGATGAAAAAGCCAACAGAGTGATATAGCTTATCACCGACAGGGCACTATCAAATTAAAAGGGGTATTGTGACATTTTTTATTGAAGGAGTTTCAAACTCTATACAATGCACTTCACTTTTTTGAATTTCGATAATGGATTAATGATTGAATTTGGGACTCGGAATTTCGAAATCCGAAATCCCTATGAAACATTTTTTTAAATAAAGGTTCAATTATTTTAACCACCGCGTTATTATTCATGTTATACATAAAAAATGATTTGAGCAAATTAAAAATGTTCTCTTTGAACCCCAAATAGTGACACAGTTCATTTTCGAACACATTGCTAACATTTTGGAATGTTTCTGGAATAAAACTATAGCACAAGTTTTGGGAAATCTGAATTGTCCCAGGTTGCGTAACGTTATAGTCCTGAAGTAAAAATTCAAGTGGTGTCAAATCCGGTGAACAAGCTGGCCATTCCAACGGACTACGCCTACCAATTCACATTTCTGGATATGTCTGATCCAACCAATCCCTCACATGCCTGAAAAAATTTAGGGGTACACCATTATGTCGAAAAACAACTGGTTTTTCACTTATTCTTGATTGTTGGTCGTGTGTGAATGAGATTTTGAAAAAAAAAATAACCATAAAAGTCTGCTTTCAATCACAATTCTTCTACGTATTTCCAGGATATGAGGTGTCTTACATGTATTTTTTTGTTTCAGTCATCCAGTTCCCCTCGAAGAGTAGCAGTCCCTGTCCTAGTCAAAGACGGCAAACCATGCTCGGGCAGCTCCGCCAACCAGACGGCCACCTCGACCGCCTCATCTGACACCTCTCGAACGCAACAGTCGCCGGCGTGTCAGCCGAGCCAGCAGCAGACGCAATGCATGGCCAACAGCGGTCTGGCGATGGCCTATCGACAGCAGGGCAATTACCAGCAACAGTGTGGTGGATATTTGCCGCTCCAGACGCGGGCCTGGTAGTACGAGCAGCAGAACTTGTGTTACGAACAGTACGGGCTGGTGTACTGCGGTGATATGTGAAAGGGATATACTTAAGACTCGATGCGTGTATGAAACGTGCATGGTTTTTGAGAGGGATGTCCCTATAGCGGTTTTGGTGTTATTGCGACTCGTCGGTGCGATGTAGGCACATATAGGCGACGGGTTTAGAGATTCCAAGGGTATCCAGGGGAAGATAACTTACTCTAACTTGATTTCCTTAGAATATTCTAAGAAAATATCAGTTTTAATATGAAGAAATTGTGCCAATTTAGATGAATGAGTTTTTCAAATAACTTCTTTGGTACAAATTATGATTTATGAATAGCCGACCACGTCTGTAGAGATTTTTTTCATACAGGGCATACAGGGGTGCCGAATAGACGCGTGGCATTTTTCTTTGTGCAAATATGTTTTCTCAAAAAAGTGTTTAGGGACACATTGTGTAAACCATTTAACATCAGTATTTCACAATGAATAATATTCAAAATGAATGAAAATGATCATATCATAATATACTAGACATTTGGCGTATTTATGATTTTTTTCTCAAAGAATAAGATGCATTTTGTCGGGCAACTGTCAGTCTGTACATGACCATAGTGTTGTTTTTCAGTTTCCACATACCCCTTCCAATAAAGAAAATAGGAAGTAAAGTACAAAAAAACTCCTTTTTCTATCTTTTCTACTTTTTGTACTAAAAAAAAAGTCTATTAGTTGAACAATAACGGAGAAAATATTTAGCTGATATCAAAGTTGTTTATGCCGGTTTCAGATTGAAGTTTTACGCTTTCACAGTCAGAAAGCAACTTTGGTTTTCCGAGCTAAGTAGCCGTGGTCCTATGGAAAGATTGGCGTTAGGCATCTTCAGCGGTAGTTCACAGCAATGCGTTGCAACCTTGTTTGCGGTGGACTCGTTAATGAGTCTACCAAAGTCATTAACGAGCAATACATTGCGAACTTGTTTGTGAGAGACTCGTTAATGAGTCAGCCGATGTCATTAACGAGTCTACCAACGATAAGACTGCAACGCATTGCTGCCAAACACCGCTGAAGATGCTGTTATAGGTGGTTGGTAGCAATGCGTTGCGACCTCGTTTGTGGTAAACTCGATTATAAGTCTACCAACGTAATTAATGAGTCTATCGACATCATTAATGATCCTACCAACGTCATTCATAAATCTAGCAAGGTCATTGCTGAGTCTACCAAGGCCATTAATGAGTCTACCAACATCAATAATGAGTCTACTAAGTCATTAACGAGAAATGCGTTGCTGCGACCTCGTTTCTGGTAGACTCGTTAATTACTCTACTGATGTCATTAACGAGTCTACCAACGAGAAAGATGCAACGCATTGCTGCCAAACACCGCTGAAGATGCAGTTATAGGTGGTTGGTAGCAATGCGTTGCAACCTCGTTTGTGGTAAACTCTATTATAAGTCTACCAACGTCATTAATGAGTCCATCGACGTCATTAATCAGTCTACCTACGTCATTGATAAGTCTACCAATATCAATAATGAGTCTACTAACGTCATTAACGAGAAATGCGTTGCGACCTCGTTTCTGGTAGACTCTTTAATGAGTCTACTGATGTCATTAAGGAGTCTACCAACGAGAAGGATGCAACACATTGCTGCCAAACACCGCTGAAGATGCAATTATGGCGGGTTGGCAGCAATGCGTTGCGACCTCGTTTGTGGTAGACCCGTTAATGAGTCGACCAACGTCATTAATGAGTCTACCGATGTTATTAACGAGCACTGCTTGTGGTAGATTCGTTAATGAGTCAACCGATGTCATTAACGAGTCTACCAATGAGAATAATGTAACACATTGCTGTCAAATTCCGCTGAAGATGCAGTAATGGATCACGGCTACGTAGCCCAGATTCCAAAGTTTATATTCGGACACTAGCAATGGTTTACATACTGCAAAAATTTATTTGGAAGGATGTTATTACCAGAATAATAAATGTTCTTGAGCGGCAGCCCGTGTCTTCGATGACGATCGCATATCCTTTATTGAAAAAGACACGTGAAAACTGCAAAACAAAACTAGGATCATAGAGAGAATGAAAAGTTGAAGCAGAAGAAAGCTTGATTGTCCAACGAAACCCATCCTCAATTTTCGAGAGATAATTTTCAAAAATGAACTAGGTCGATCGCTATTTCTATTATAAGAAATGTGGGGTGTCTTCTCATTGGTGCGGCTGAATACAGCATATAGTTTCAGAGTGGACTGTTTTCTTTGGGACACTTTGTATTGTTGAAGGAAAATGTTCGATACTTTTTTCAAAATATTGATAAGGATAAAACTCATCAAACATTTTTCTATGAGTTGAGGCATGTCTGTAACCCCATACAAGTGTACAAAATTGTTAAACTTCAAATTTTCATGACAAAATCGTTGATACATACGGCATGTACCTGCAGTTCTTTTGAAAAAAAATGAATGAAGTATCTGAATGACACCGTAACGATATTTCATCACCATTAATTTGCAATTTCCCTGGAATTTTTTTTCAGAATTTTCGTTTTATTCTTTCGTTTCTTGAGGTGGTAAAGAAATGGAAAAGAAATATTTTGCATTCACATGTCCTTCATGTATTTTTTTGTATATAGAGAAAATCAGGCAACATCATTCAGCCAAAATTGTGTTTAAAATGTTGAACCCTGAAATTCTAAAACGATTATTGTATAATACTCATATAATGTTATTCGTGTTACACAACTTATCAGAAAAATTTATGAAAATTATTTTTCTGTCGTATGAACTCTTCAGTAAACCAGTGTTTTGTGCTACATGTTATTCGAGAATTCGAAAACTGTATTTTGTTAATGAATAAAGTGCAATCTTAACGAACTTTTTGAATTACGGTGAATTTATTGTTCTGGTCATCCAAATAATGGAAACCTCTGTAGATAATATTTTACAAAAATCGAATGTACAAAAATGTAATTTATTATAGAGTCAACAGTTGGGCTGAAAAATTTGTAGGCTAACATAGACAAAAAAATGTTGTTGATGAAATTTAATTTTATCATTGACTATAACGGGTGATTTTTGAGAGGTATAGAATTTGATTTTCAAAACAAGACAAAATTTTTTTAAAAATTGATGAAACCTTTATTAGAATCGATAGAACGATCAATATAATTTAATGTTTGAAGATGATTTCATACAAATGCTGTCCGCGGCTCCGCTCTAGATGGCCCATGCGCAAGGGCCAATTTTGGCACTCTCGTAACATATCGACTAGTATTTCACGTATACATGCTTCAATATTGGATTCCAGAGTGTCAGTCGTTGCTGGTTTATCCCTGTAGACATGGGCCTTAACATGACCCCACAAGAAATAATCCAAAGGCGTTAAATCACACTATCTAGGCGGCCAGTTGACGGGCCCCTAGATAAAGCATGTACACCGAAGGCGGATCTTAATTGGGCCATTGTTTCGCGTGCCGTGTGGCATGTGGAACCGTCTTCTCCAATTCTTACATTTTAGGCAACAAAAAGTCGTCAATCATGACACGGTAGCGCTCGCCATTCATACTAACGTTCCGGCCATTGTCGTCTTTGAAGCAGTACGGCCCGATGATGCCTCCGACCCATAATCCACACCAAACAGCGACTTTTTTGAGATGCATCAGTATCTCTTGCAATGCTTGTGGCTGGTCTTCACTCCAGATGCGGCAATTTTGCTTGTTAACGTATCCATTCAACCAGAAATGAGCCTCACACCAAATGTTAGACGTTGTGGGAGGTCGTGTGGCTCCAATTCTTCACCAGCTGTATCTTATAAGGTTTTACATCCAAATCCTTTCGCAAAATTTTCCACTTAGTGGAGTAACAGAGGCCCAATTGCTGCGAACGGTGGCGAATCGACATTTCACTGTCATCACGAACACTGGCGAATACAGCCGCAATATTTTTTGTTCGGTCCTCACTCTACGTATGCGTGTTGGTAGTTTAATGTCTAATCATGTAAACTGGGTTCGAAATTCAGTCACAAGCTTCCGAATAGCTTCCTTAGTAGGCCGACGAAACTGCCCATAAATTGGAAGAAGTGCACGATGCACTTTCTTCACCGATCATGAATTTTGATAATAAAATTCAATAATTTGCAAGCGTTGTTCATTCGTAAGTCGATTCATGGTTAAATTATAGACCAAACTGAACAAGTTTGACAATTACACAAGACACGATTCACGCGGGATTTGCCAAAAACAGTGCTGCCAAAAAGATACCACAAAAAAAATCACTCATTACACGTGTCTTTTGAAGGTTACAGTTAACTAAAAATCATATGGATTTGATACTAGTAGCGACATATGTGTGTTAACCTACGAACTTTTCATCCCACCGAATACATAGTGGTCGACGAACTGTTTTAGTGAATCGAAATGCAATAAACTGTCCATTTGACTGTAAATAGTAAATTATTATAGATCAAGTAGAATAGTGTATGTACAGTATCTGTAGAATAATGTATATCTATAGGTGAATTGCACTGGCATGTATGGTAACTGTTTTTAAATTCCTCAATAAAATGTACAACCGTCTATCATAATATTCGTTTTATTTCTCCTGCTTAAGTTTTTGTATAACTGAGGTGAATTCACTGTGTATATTTCCAAAAACTTTCGTGTTGGCGTTTTTTCAAACAAGTAGTTGAGAGTTACTAGATATCGAGCAAGAACATTATTCAGCCACCAATAAACTTTCGTATCAAATTTATGGTAGGCACACTTGGAGTTAAGAAATATTACTGGATTTTTTTCCCAACATCAAACCATTATTTTAACACCTCGACAGGTGTTTCGATCACCAAGTGATCATCTTCAAGAGGCAGATCTAACTTTCCTCCCCTTGAAGATGATCACTTGGTGACCGAAACACATGTCAAGGTGTTAAAATAACGGATTGTTGTTGGGATGAAAGTCCAGTAATATTCATTACTACACCAAGGGTTCCTAACAGTGCATGACAAGTACTGTTACAGTATAATTTCTCTTAGAGTGGTTGTCTGTCTGTTTCGCATATTCGATAAATTATGTCAAGGTCATTGTTCTGCAAAGTTCGCAACTAGATACGTTTCTCGATGTCTTCGTTACATTTTTAATAACTAGCGTTGTGAGCTTAGTTGTTATTACCTCTTTTAAAGGGGATACAAAGCTGAAATCAGAATCTAAAGCCACCCTTCATCAAAAGTATGGATAAAATAGTTGATGAAGTATTCTAGAGTTGTTCTCTCTATCCTCTAGGCCTTTTTCTTTTTATGCCGTTGGATAACGAAATAAAGGAATTTCTGAAATTCGAAAGCCTGACAGTTCCGCTACTTCCTGAAAGTTGGGGAAGTGCAGTTTCAACTTCGCAGTTTGCAGCCAAAAAGGGAGGAAAGCTAACGAATCGGATGAGTACCACTATTATTTCTTTGATTATTTATTACCTTTTTCTTCTGACAATCAATTTCGTCACCAGCCAAGTTATTTGTAGTTATTTTCAAGCTAACTTATTTGGATGCTGGTAAAACATTCAACTCACTTGTTGGATTCAATTTCTTACGGAGAACCGAATCTTACTGATTTGAATCTTGGCTTCTTGGGGCAAAAGTACCGTACCTCAAATACTGGCTTTCAGTAGAGCACTATTAAATTTTGATACGGTTTCACCCTTCAGAGTAACAACTGATAAAACTCTTACACAGTATATAAAGACTCCTTCTGAGCCAGGAAAGAGCCCGTAACAGTACACTTGGAGTTATTGACAACGTAACAATCCACATAAAAACATGTCTCTTTAAAAAATAATATATTTTCAAACAATCCTGGCCTTCAGAAGGTGAACATTTTGCAATCCTAATGCAACGATTACGAATTGAACCCCTCAGCTAGGTGATCTTACTTGCCAATTTCTGCCAAGTCTTCATAATATAAGACTGTATCACGTGCTTTCTTCATTTTCTCCCACATTTTGATGATAATATTGATAACAATAATAATAAGAACTCTCCCTCTCTCTCTCTCTCCGCGGCAAGAATCAGCACAAACTCCGACTGTTCTGGTCATCGGAACTGTCGGGAAGAACAAAGTTGTTACTACAAATATGCTTGCCGTTTCTATTTCACTCTACTTCTTTGAAGTAGTGAAATTGACTCGACGAAAAGATCCAAAAAATGATGAATCTCCATAGCTCCATAGCATCCCAAATCGTCTGTTCCACGGTTGTGCTTTCACCGACGCCGTGGAGCTTTGAGCTTGGAGTGTCTAAATGGTAGAATGGTACTAGGTGGATCCTGTAGAGTCACCAGGTACGCGACAGTAGAAGAGCAGGATTTGGAACATTTATTCTCAAGGCAGCTGCACGAGCGGCTGATGAACTCGGTTTGGTTTTCAACTCTGAACGGGCTGATCACAACTATGTCACCAAGTTGTAACCCCTTCAGCAAAAGGCCCACATAAAGCCGCAGACATCACTTCACTCCTGCGTCAACGCAAAGGTAAGCCAATGCATGGTGTCTTCTTCAACATTGTGGAACTCGACTTACCTGACCTGATCTTTGCTTTCCTCAGATCGGGTGAGTTGAAGTCGGAAACTGAAGAGTTTATCATGACCTAACACCTCAAACTACCGTAGTCGCGTGAGGTTCCCGACACAAGGTGCAGGGCCTGCCGCAAGACGCCTGAGATCCAAATGCATTTGCTGTCAGCATACAGAGCATATGCGGTCTCACCTAATATAAATCGACATACACGGTACTAAGAGTGTTTTATTACCACCTACGATACTTTTACGGTGTTAACGCTCCGGGGGATATTAAATCCATTGTTATTGGAACTATTCATTCTCCATCCAAAGGATGACGACACAAACTAATAAGCCTAATGTTTCAATGGCCACAAAAGAAATAACCAGGAAAAGAATTTCTGGCAAAAACATAACAATCTGCACTGATAACAGACAAGCCCTATTAGCCTTGAACAGACAACGTGTTACCTCAGGGCTAGTACTAGAATGCCACCAAGATTTAGCCAAAGCATCGGTGTATAATAACATTATCCTGAGGTGGGTTAAAGGGCACGACAGGAGTAAGTAAATAAGACCAGATGAGAAATAAGGCAGCACTATCAAAACCATAATATTTAAGTTTCATGCAAATCAGCTCATGATTGATAGTATCGAATGCTTTCGAAATATCCAGTAGTANAAAAGTATATTTTGTATGATGATTAATTGTTTGCTGACTTTTTATTAGTTATTTATTTGTATGTTTTGAGACCTATGGGTAATAAATAAAACTGTAAATTAATACCATTTTAATCTTTTTATTCCTCCTTAATTACAAGCATGTCAAAAATAAACAAATATCGAACCATTGAAAATGAAGTTTTCTCAGGAATTCAATTAAAAAAGCCTTTGAACACTTTTAGAAGAGTAAATATTATACGTTTATTAAAATATTTAGGTATGGTGGTACGCCAATATTTCTCAAAAAATCAAGTGGTACGCGGGTGCAAAAAGGTTGGGAACCCCTGTGTTAAACCTAAATTCAAAACAAGCAATGTTTCCAAACACCAGAACCGCAACACTCTTCTCGACACGCGTTGGCATCTTCAGGAGATGAAGTAGAATTCTGGACTCGTCTCTACAACTAACATTCAGCTTAAATTGATTAAATTTCCGAATCATTCTCTCCACTGTGAAGACCATCAGACATATTCATTCAACTTTCTCGCTTGAATATAGTCGAATTTAATTATATCTCTTGAATGACAAGTGTGATTGTTCGATCAAACGTATATTAAATAGCGTCAAATCAAATTCATAACTGATCCATTGTCAAAAATCACCGCGTCATCGTCTTCGAAATTCCCACACGTCATTAAACAAAGGAACAGTGACAGTAGTACCAAACGAGAGGTGTTCCATGGCACACGTTGACTCGGGGTTCGGATTCCCTTCGTAGTTACAGGACGAGAATTCCTCGGTAATGACACCTAATAGCGCCACCACCTTTTTCAAAATCGTGTCTCCGTTCACCGTTTCCATTGTATCTGCCTCT